AGTTACTTGTGAACTGGTGTGGATAAAGTCCATTCTTCAAGAACTCAACATATGTTTGCCAAAACCATCCATCATCTGGACTGATAACTTGGGAGCTGTTTCTCTGTCTGTAAACCCGGTGTTTCATTCAAGGACCAAACATATGGAGTTGGACTTACACTTCATAAGAGATAAGGTAGCAGAAAAGTTAATTTCAGTTCAACACGTACCTGCTATAGATCAAGTGGCTGATATATTCACCAAACCGTTAAGTGGACAATTTTTCACTCGCATGAGGAACAAACTCGGATTGGTTTCCAGTAGCTCGTTCAAATTGAGGGGGAATGATAAATTGCAAAGCTCAACTGGTTTGTATTGCACGTTGGGGCCCATGCATGGACCCATGCACAAGCATGCAGAGTCATTAGCAGAAGAAGACAAGAATGAGCTGTGAATACTTGGGCAGCTGTAATGCATTGTTTTTATTTGAAATTGTTAGGTTTTTGCCAAGCATTGTAACTCCTATAAATAGGAGAGTTTGGTAGCCGCATTTGTACGGTTTTCCCCTTCATCTATACAATGATTTTAGATCTGAGTTTTATACAGAAAATATAGCTATGAAATCTTCTTTGATCTTGCTGCAAATTTCACAAGTATTTTTGGGCATGTGGTAACCGAGTTACCCGACTCGGGTCGTTCTCAAAAGAAGGCTCTTCGGAGCTTCGTTCACTATCTAGTCGTCAAAGTCACACAACTAAAAAGGTCCTAAATATTCTACTCGCAAATTTGGGGAGGGGGGAGGGGGGTTTGAATTAAACACTACTCGCAATTGGAAATCGAAAGCAAAAACTTAAAAACAAAGATGAGAGCTTTAGGTCAACCGGGGTCTCTATCACTCGAATAAACACAAAAAGAACCGAGGGATATCAACATTGCCAAGTGACCCTAGGTCATTAAATCGAGCTTTCTACTAAATGACTACACTTTTAAACAAAGTCGCAATCTTTAAACAAGATAAGAACAATTAAACTAATCCCTAACACACGTCGACGAGCTACAAGAATCGAACATTCCTCCAATCAACAAGCAAAACCACATTCACCTTGAAACACATCATAAGCAAAAGAGGACAAATTCGAAGTAATGAGGATTAAAGCTAATTACCCACTCTCCTAATGCATGCGTGAAGAACACCAGATGGAAACTTGAAATAAAATGATGTCGCCGGAAACTTGTCGGAAAATATGAGTAATAGAACTCCTAACCCAAGCATAAAAAGGAAAAAAGAGAAATAGAGGATTTTCCCAACATAAAAGTTGGGAAATGAGAGTTGTCCTAAAAAATACAAAGCATAATGTCTTTATATAGCTACACCACAAACACACACTAAAAACACGCACATTTAATAGGACACTCTCGAGGTTGCCACGGAATTCGCGAGCTCGCAGGCAACAACAGCACGGGCATGGAAGGCGCGACACTCTCGAGCTCGCCGGGAAATCCGCGAGCGTGCGGATACGCTGGGCAGTGCGGGTGTGTGGGCGTGTGCGCGAGCAGGGGCACTCTCGAGCTCGCGCGCGCATCCGCGAGCACGCGAGCGTGCTGGGCAATAGAAGGCGGACTCTCGACGTCACTGGGAGTTCCGCGAGCTCGCGAGCACGCAGGGCGGCAGTGGCGCGGGAACTCGCGGGCTACGGGCGTTTCGCGGGCGCAGAACTAGTACATCGCGGGCTGCTGGGAGATGCTGGCTGAAAACTCGCGGGATAGCCGCAGTTCGCGGGCGCGAAACTAGAAACTCACGGGCTGCATGGTGAACTCGCGGGTTAGCTGCCATTCGCGGGCGCGAAACTCATTTCACGGGCACTGGGCATGGTCTGTTGATCCCTTGATGCTCGATTCGCCTTAACTTCGCGCACACATATCCAAATCGCACGAAACTTGGACCAAAATTCTCCTTATTGAATTCTCTTCGTCTCGGTATGGCTTGGTCGGATTTTTCAGGTTGGACGACTCGGTCGGCTCAGATGGATCGTCTTCTCCTTCTCGACACGTTGGACCTATTCAACACTAAAACAAAAGAGAAAACGCGCAAAAATATGAAAACACAATACAATAACAAAAATACACAAAACACGATAAAACGGACCGGTCGACACAAAAACGAGCCTAAAACTATAAAATAAAACATACAAAACACACGAAAATAACGACGAAAACACAATAAACAAATATCTGCTGAAATTTTCATTGGAATATATTACCGTATGATTTGCTTTTGGAATATGACAATTTTTTTGGTAGTGATCAGTCTAATGTGAACAGAAACTGAAAAAGCGACCGCCAATTAGTCTCATCATCAAAAGCAACACATTGACACGTGTCCTTGTGCTCGAGGCTTTCTGAGACGCGTGTGTGGCGTCCAACCCTTAGTTGACTTACGACAATCATTACGTCTTTTAATTGTGCAGTGTTTTGTGTGTTTTTCTTGTTATTTTATGTGTTTTTTAGTGTTTAATTTTGTTTGTTTTAGTTTATTCTTCTAAAGGCTGGGTCGTCCTCCTAAAGGCTTCGCGCCATTGGATTCTCCTCTGTCCGTCGTCGTGTCGCCTCGCCTCTGCCAACCACCTCTTCGCCTCGACTCGACTCGACTCCGTCCTCCGCCGCCTCACCTCGCCTCCGTCCGCCATCGCATCACCTCGTCTCCGTCCACCGCCGCATCGTCTCGCCTCCTCCCACCGTCTCATCGCCTCTAGCCGAATTGTGTGGGTGTGTGCGAGGGTGCGTGTGCCTGTGCAGGTATATGTGATCGAAATTTGTGTAAGTATTTGTGCATGTTAGTGTGTGAGAGAGAGGGGAGGGTAGGTTAGGTAGTGGTGGGGCCACCGGTGTGTGCATAAGTGTGACTGCTCAATCGCCAATTTGTCCTTACCGAGGAGTCAAATGCACATTTGACCACAAATTGTACATCTATCTTACGAAATTGTCATCGCCTGTTTGACTATAATATTTAACATTTGACTTGATCATGACCATTGACATATTAGGTCCAATAGTACAAATTTATTCTTATTTTTCACTACGTAGCTACTAACTCTCTATGTATATACAATTATACACGCAGGAATATTTATTATATATATATATAAATATATACATATATAGGCATGAAGAAATTTAAACATGAGATACCAACCCCAAAGGGCAGCAATAAAAACTTGATTGCCCCACCTCCATTAATGCCCTCGCACCATCTCTACACCATCTGCAATTACTCCCCCTCCTCTTCATACCCCCTTCTTTCTCTCTCTTCAACCTAATCTTCCTTCCTTCCTTCCTTCTTTTTCTAATTTCATTTTATTTTCAAGAAAAATTGTTATCTTAATTTGTCCTTTTCTTTCTCTTTCATCCCCCATATGCATGCCACAAATTCTTCATAAATTCTATTCACAAGAAACTCACCATCTGCAATAAACCCCAACACTCAAAAAACAAAACAAAAAACAAAAGAGAGAGAGAGAGAGAGAGAGAGAGAGAGAGAGAGAGAGAGAGAAGAGAGAGAGAGAGAGAGAGAGAGAGAGAGAGAGAGAGCTTTCTTCTTCTTCTTCTTCTTCTTGCATGGGTTTTTTAGCCAGATCTGAACCTCTCTGGTTGTCAAACACTCTCTTTCACCATAAACCCTAATCATCATTAAGGGTTTTCAAGGAGTGTGTGTAAGTTTACTTCAAATTTTATTCTTATATACTTTATCCATTTTTTCAGCTGTTTTATTTAACTCTTTCTTTTCATTTTTTTTATTTCTCTTTGGCAGTTAGTGAGACTTTGGGGGTATATTTTGAGCGTTACACTTGGGAAAATAAATATACAGCTTAGTGTCAAAGGGGACAGCTCACACAGTCAACTCTTTGTTTCTATGTCCTCAAAATCTTGTTTTTTTTTTTTAATAGAAAAAAAAATAAGTGAAAAAAAAGGTGAAAAACAAGAAAAAAAGTCCATGGCTAATTAATCTGTTGTTACATGTAACAATCTCATTTGCTTTTCTCAGACACTCCCAGAAAGAATCTATCAAAACTCAACGCACTAACTTCTAAGATATAAAGAGAGAGAGAGAAAAAAAAGTTTCTAGGGTTTCTTGGTGAAGATGTCTAGAGATGTCGACGAGGCTCGATCGGAAAAAGATTCCGGCAAGTCGAGGACCGATTAACTCTATGCTTGTACTCAAACAATTAAAAAGGTTTGTATAACCTTCTCTATATATATTATTATTTTTTATTTTTTTTTTTGTATATTAACAATTGTTTGGAGAAGAATATTAATGGACAATTATTCGAACTTTAATTAAATTCAATGAATTATCCTGAAGAAAAAATTGTGATGGAAGAAGAAGATGTGTGGCCCGAGACAAACCATTTGACTTCCTTCTACATTTAATATATTTTATTTATTATTTCATTGCATATATACATTTGCTTTTAATTAATCTTTGCATTTAAGAGTTAAGAGTAGTCATCAGTATTTCATTCTCATCAGTCTCAATCTCGTTTTCAATTAAAAACCCACTTGCGAGATCTGAATAATTAGGCCGTGAGATACCCTATTTAAAAAGCCCCTATATATATAATTAATATTGCGGCAAAATAATAAGTGTTTAAGGTTCGTGTCAAAGCATTTTATCATATAGGTGCGTGGAATAATATATATAAATAAATGCTGATTTAGAATCATGCATTTTCTGTTGGTTTAATTTAATTAATTAATTAAAGCTTTGTGTGTTTTGATTCTTGATGATTTATTAGTTCTTTAATAATTGAAGCATTATTTTATCCATTTTTTATAATATTTAATGAGTCTTTGCTTGGATATATCTATCTCTTTTTAGCCAGATTTTTTGTTGATTCTAAATGTCAAGCATTGTTTCTATCATGTTGTGGTGCAGTTAGCAAGCCAGACTCTAGCTCAAGATTCACCGAAACCCTCGATTTTACGCGCATTTGATCCGTGGAAAAAGAAAAAAAAAAAAAACGATGTTTCAGCCGAACATTTTCGACAGTCATCACCACCTTCTCGACATGAGTCAGAAAACGCCCGAGAACGAGATGGACCTCATTAGGGATGATGAGTACGAGAGTAAATCGGGCACGGATTTGATGGAGGCACCGTCCGGAGACGACCAAGATCTTAATCAACGGCCCAAGAAGAAACGATACCATCGACACACGCAGCACCAAATCCAAGAAATGGAGTCGTACGAAGATCACCAAATTTTTCGCAAACTTTAACAATTATATATTTTCAATCATCATGCATATATTGAGTTCGTTTTTTATTTTATTTAATTTTATTTACTCAATTTAATATTCGAAATAGGTTCTTCAACGAGTGCCCCCACCCGGATGACAAGCAACGAAAGGAGCTCGGGCGTCGCCTAGGACTCGAGCCTTTGCAAGTCAAGTTTTGGTTTCAAAACAAACGTACCCAAATGAAGGTTAGTTAATTGGTACTTGAAATATGTCCAAAGCCTTTTATTTTTTATTTTTAATTTTTTGTATGATTCTTTAATTGTACAAATACTTTCAGGCTCAACATGAGCGCCATGAAAACACTCAGCTTCGGAACGAAAACGAGAAGCTAAGGGCTGAGAATATACGGTACAAAGAAGCCCTGAGCAATGCAACTTGCCCCAACTGTGGTGGCCCGGCTGCCATTGGCGAGATGTCCTTCGACGAGCAGCACCTCAGGATCGAAAATGCCCGTCTAAGAGAAGAGGTATACTATTCAACTATTTTTATGCTGATTTTTTTATTGTATATCTAACTCTATGACGACGGTACATTATGCCAAAAATAAAATCATGTAGTAATATTATTAAGTGAATTTGTGAATACATAGGTTAAAAACTAATATAAATACAATTATGACTTTGCAGATTGACAGGATATCTGGAATAGCTGCTAAGTATGTGGGCAAGCCCATGCTCTCATATCCTCATCTTCCCACCGGCTCATCATCACGCTCCCTCGACCTTGGAGTGGGAAATTTCGGGCCACAAACGAGCCTTACCGGTGAGGTTTACGCTGCATCCGATCTTCTCAGGTCTGTTTCAGGCCCAACAGATGCCGACAAGCCCATGATTATCGAGCTGGCCGTTGCAGCAATGGAGGAACTGATCCGAATGGCTCAATCCGGCGAACCATTGTGGATTCCTAGCTCGGATAATTCTTCCGAGACGTTGAATGAGGAAGAGTACGGGCGGGCCTTCCCGCGTGGGATCGGGCCCAAGCCTTTGGGCCTGAAATCCGAAGCCTCTCGGGAGTCCGCGGTTGTGATCATGAATCATATCAATCTTGTGGAGATACTCATGGATGTGGTACTAACTACTTTGTTTCTTAATAATTTGCCCCTTTTTTGTGTGTATGTGTGTGTTTTATGTTAAGTTGTGATTTTGCAGAACCAATGGTCCAGTGTGTTTGCTAGCATTGTTTCAAGGGCTGTGACTTTGGATGTTTTGTCTACTGGTGTGGCTGGCAACTACAATGGAGCACTACAAGTTGTATGTGTCCAAAATAAAATAATCATAAATGTTTTTTGATCTTCATAAGTTCCTTAAAAATTAAAATGGAATATGATGGTAGAACTTAAATACCTAACCATTTGGTGTGTATATTTGTCAGATGACGGCCGAGTTTCAGGTCCCATCTCCCTTGGTCCCGACTCGTGAGAACTACTTTGTCCGATACTGCAAACACCACTCGGATGGGAGTTGGGCTGTTGTCGATGTCTCTTTGGAGAATTTACGACCCAACTCCTTATCGAGATGTCGCCGTAGACCTTCCGGTTGTCTGATTCAAGAGCTTCCAAATGGTTACTCAAAGGTGTGCTGTGCATTCATAAAAACTAAATAAATACTTTAATTATCAGGCCATTCAAAAATCATGTATGCGTACTTGTTATATATACTGTCGATCGGCCAGGTCACGTGGGTGGAGCACGTGGAAATAGACGATCGAGCTGTGCACAGCATATACAAGGCGCTGGTCAACTCGGGCCTAGCCTTTGGGGCCCGCCGATGGGTTTCCACGCTTGACCGTCAATGCGAACGTCTCGCGAGCCTAATGGCTAACAATATTGCAGCAGGAGATGTCGGCGGTAGTTAACTTTTTATTACATCATAGTATAATTTTTTCTTTTTTAGAAACAAGTTAACTATTATTACATCGAAATTCTGCAGTTATATCGTCCCCGGAGGGTAGGAAGAGCATGCTGAAGCTGGCGGAGAGGATGGTGATGAGCTTCTGCACGGGCGTGGGGGCATCCACAGCTCACACGTGGACAACACTGTCCGGGAGTGGCGCGGATGATGTTCGGGTGATGACTAGGAAGAGCATGGATGATCCGGGCAGGCCACCCGGGATTGTGCTTAGTGCCGCAACCTCGTTCTGGCTCCCGGTCCCACCTAAGAGGGTGTTCGACTTCCTCAGGGACGAGCACTCGAGAAGCGAGGTATTTTTATTTTTTTATTTTATTATTTTTCGAGTAAATCAATTTATCAGAATAATTTTCTTTTGCAGTGGGATATTCTGTCGAACGGCGGCCTTGTTCAAGAAATGGCACACATTGCCAACGGACGTGATCCGGGGAACTCCGTGTCTTTGCTGCGTGTCAATGTATGTTCTTTTTCATAAATATTTTGATCGAAAACATAACAAATCCTCGTAAACAATATGATAAACGGAACTCTATACAGAGCGCAAACTCGAGTCAGAGCAATATGCTGATATTGCAAGAGAGCAGCACGGACTCGACCGGTTCGTACGTCATTTATGCTCCGGTTGATATCGTGGCCATGAATGTTGTCCTGAGTGGTGGCGACCCAGATTACGTGGCCCTTCTGCCGTCGGGCTTTGCTATACTTCCTGACGGGCCCACTAACCCTGTGGGCCCCGTTCCTGATGTCGGGTCGGGCGGGTCTTTGCTGACTGTGGCATTTCAAATATTGGTAGACTCTGTTCCCACGGCCAAACTTTCTTTGGGTTCGGTGGCCACTGTGAATAGCCTCATCAAATGCACGGTTGAGCGGATCAAAGGTGCCGTCTTGTGTGAAGGTTCTTGACCGAAAAACAAAAAAGTTAGTCTTCTTGCTAAAGCTCAATTTTTACCCAACTTTTCGAATTTAGTACTATAAATTCATTTGCTTCAACTATTTTTAGAAAATCGTGTCTCGTTCTCTGTGTTTGACATTGCAGGGGCCGATAGAAGGATGTTTACGTACGGTAGGATCGTAAAAGAAAGGGAAGAAGTCAAGAACGCACCTTGCGTGTGTCCTTGCTTTGTGGTGTTTATCGACAGATATTCACCGCAAGGCAAGGGTAATGGGTTCGGGTATTGACTCTACCCACATTTGTTGTAAGGACCAAGTAAACAAAAGACCTTATTTTGTCAAATTGTAATGGGGACAAACCTATGTTTGTTTTGCTTTTGCACAAGATTCAGCTGCCATGTGTTCTGTTGGTTAGCATTAATCTGCTGTTTTTGTCTTTAGGAAGATGTTTAGATTTACAGTGTTTTGTAGACTGATAACTATGGATCCTCAAGCTCTTTTCTAATCAATTAATTAATGGTGGTCTGTTTTGATGATTTTTTGGTGTTTACATGCAAAGTTCTTTGATATTCTTTGGGTAACTTTCATTGTTTTTGGTCTACTAAAATTCCATTGTGCAATGCATATGACTATATTGAATATAACTTATGAAAAATTCTAAGGTCCCTTTACGGGGTACCGTCAGTGTTTTACATCATTGGATACACATAAAGATTATCTTGTGTAGATAATCTACGGTAACCAATATTGACAGGAACCATTCCGAGACTGCAGTAATTTCCATTAACTTATAACCCGTATCAAGAATAATTATTCTTCGAGTAGGTACAATTTTCAATATTCGTTCTTAGAGTAGACGAGAACTCATAAGAAGTCAGTGCTACTCAATTCATAATAATGCTTTTCGTATCCCAAAAGTCCCAAAGGACTTACAATATTTATAATCTTTTGATTTCAAATTCTAATCATTAACTAATTACTAAATAATTCTATTATATTATCATGTAATTTGGGAAAAATTTCAAAATTAGTCCAACATGTATATGGGTGACAAATTTATACCACTTAGTGTAAATCAAAATAGTCCCACAACTTTAAAAAATTAATCAAAAAATTAAAATAGTCCCACAACTTTCAAAATTTAATCAAAAGTATAATTTTTTATACCGGATTTACGATTTTTGGCTCAGAAAGTCACGTCGAGCAAATGTAACATTTTTTCATGACACGCTGGCAATGGTAGCGAGTTTTATCGGTGGTTTGGCATGAAAAATCGCATGGTGTACATGGAAACTCGCCAAGGTCGCAAGTTTTGCGTGGGGTTCGCGGGCGTGCGCGTTCGCGTGCGCTGGGGCGCTAGGTGACAGGCAACGAGCTTCGCGCGGGCGTGCAGAGCGTCGACATGCGGGCATTGTCTCGCCGTCAGCGGGGCGTGCGCGCGGTGTGCCTAAGGGCCCTAGCTTGTATCCTCGTGTGGAAAATAAGTTCTAAATCTGTATCGGGGTTGTTGCTTGGAATAAAGATTATATGATGCCCTTAGGAAGATCCTTTGTGGGATTGGATTTTTATGATAGTGGAAATGCCATAAAGCGCGAACCAAGATCCGTAATACGAAAACGTCGTCATTTATCAAAGTACATGGTGTGGAGTTTCTAGATCTGTACTGGGGTCAGGGTTCTATGCGTGTGGGAAATCCTATCCTAGTGTCGAGTTCATAATGAGTTGCGGTTTGTTTTGTCGGATGGTGTGAAGGGTGTTATTATAGTATTGCTAGTGTTTAAGTGTTTTGTGTTTGTATTTTGAGTAGTTTTGTTAGTTTGTTGTTATTTTTCTTTCTAGAAGCTTTTATTCTTCACTTACGGGTGTTGTATAGCTTGTTGTATTGTGGATGAGTTAGCGTAGGTGGATCTAGGCTACCATTTTGTAGTCCTCCGACTAGATTCAGTTGAATGCCTGCTTTGCTATTTATAGTTGGTGTCTAAATGTGCGCAAGTGATTTTATTTATAAATGATATCATTACCAAAAAAAAAAAAAAAAATTGATGCCGAGCGGATTGAGAAATTCCTCCAAATTTATGCACAATAAAATTTTGATAAATATTTTTTTGAGATAAAATTATAAAATATGGCCAGTAATTTTTGGATCTTACCAAGAAATATAATAATTTTAAAAACTCATAAAATATACTCAAAGTAATTGAATTAAATCACATTATACGAAAGAGTTGTTGCCATTACTAACTGCTCAATGTGTGACAGTGTTCTGGTTTTGCATTACCCTCAGGTAACCCCATAAATCTCTTAAATATGTGTTTCACATTTTTCAGTCTACACTTGGGCCGGACCATTAACAAACTGTCATAACAGAGCCCATTAAAAGACGGGCTGACACAATGAGCAACAATTATTTATTTCGTTCCAACTGTTTTTGGTTAAAGTTCATTAACTCATGGAAAAATGACCTAGTCAACACATGGGGAATTTTTATGTTTACCACAAGATTTTAAAATATTTGCATTTGTCCAAGGTGTAGATTTTATTTGCGTTCCTACCAAATGCATTACATTTATTAGTGAATAATCAAATTGCAGTTACCAAATAAACATATGAAATGTGTTCCTTAAATTGCGCATGAATGGGGGTATTGAATTTGCACTAAAAAAAAATACAAAAATATGGTAAATTTATATATCCTATTAATTAGGAGATTATTTCAGTAGGAAATAGAAAGATATGGATTGAATATCAAACAACGTCGTCTTCTAAATACATCTAAAATACACAATCAAGATTATATACAGAAGATATATATACTCATTATATATAGACGACATACAGAAAATACACAACAGATATATAAAAGATAAATCTAGCTTGTCATTATATACAAAATTTATACAGAACATATATAGAAAACACATTGGACCACAAATTCAATTTTTAGCTCGATTTATATACAGAATATATACATAAGATTAATTTGCCACAAGGACACTTTTTTGTGCCTCTCAATCCTCCCTAAATTATTTTCAACTCGATTCACTTGCCGATCTCTTCAAACCCTGACAGGCAAACCGTTCCATTTTCCAATTACCATGGCCAAGAAATGAAAAACCCGCGCTACAGAAGCTACCGAAGAGCCTGAACTCGTACAGCAAACTGAGCCCAAACCCAGTCGGTCCGACTGAAACATAGCTAATGTTCGCTACATCCTTTCGGAACGAATAAGACCCTCAGTTGATCGAAGGTGCTGCTATTCGGGCTCTTGGTGATAGGAAAACAGTCGCTGCTCGCTGTTGAAAAGGGTTAGATCTGCTCGTGTGAAAGGGGTGCGGCTGTTTGGCCCGATGAAGAACGAGCTAGCTACTGAAATTATTGAAAAGCGGACTAAGAAATGGGAGAGGGAGAGAGAAGAAGGAGAAGAAGAGATAGGGAGGAAGAGAGAAAATCTACCTTTAATTACGCTTCATTTCATCTTTAATTTAATCATATTTTATTAAATGATTTTATGTACATGGTGTAATTTACTCACATATGCATATACAACTTTGTTAAATATCGATGCTCAATTACTAAAAAGATTCTAGACTATGATTAAAAAAAATGTTGAATAGTGCTAATACTTGAGAAATTCTAGAGGATACTTAGCAAATCACCGCCGTAAGAAATGCCTTTATATATGTATGTAACGAGTTATAATATGTAGAAAAAATTCTTATCCAATCTCTCTGCCAATATATTAAAATATAAATAAACACTCTACATTCCAAAAATAAACTACTTGAATAAACACTCTACATTACAAAGCAACAAACTTAAAGTAACATACACATTACTCACATGTTTCCATAACTCTAATGTTAATGTGAAACATTTATAAAAATTAAAGTAATGTAATTAGTAATTGTTAATGTTATAAGACCCCATCTCTTCAACCACTCATTGAAGAGTTGAGTTCGTGTAAATTACATAAATTAAAAATTATGTATACAATAAACATATTTATATAATTTCATATTTATTGTTGGTGTCCCTTAATACTTATATACTTATTTTTTTCAAAAGTTTTGATATTGAATATAAAAGTACATTTTCAATAAGTGTTACATGAATAGCGAAAGTATTCTAATCAATGATAAATATTATCTCAATTCTCAATCAGCAATCATTGACCGCAATTATTGGAATAATTTTTTTTCTGCTCCATTAAATCACCTTATAATGAGACGCACTAGACATTTTTTACTATATTATTTAAATAAAATTTTTGCATGAAGAAAATAAGCAGTAACTGAATAACGCTTGGATGAGATGACTTGGGTCTCTTCCAACTTAACCAGTGGTCTCGTGTTCGAGCCCTAGAAATACAGCAGTGTTAAAACTCTTGAGGGAGAGCTTTGCCGCCCTTGTGGTCCTACCGGCTCGATTCCAAATTAGTCGGTTCCCCTGTGAATTCGGAAACCGAAAGGTCCTTGTACCAAAAAAAAAAGCAGTAATTAATTAACAACGTTTACATTACACACTTGTGACGTCTAGATTTTTTTGCATAAATTTGATTACACATTCTTAACCTTAATGGAAAATGTCAGGATCTCGTTACGAAACCATTCCGACAAGGTTGTTAAATCATCATGTAACCGTCGGAATAGTTGATCTAACGGTTACAAACCCGATAGAATGGTTCCGTGATGCACTTCCGTAAGTAATAAATTGAGCAAACAACAAATTAATAGCATGCCTGGGTCCGTACTGTTGCTGCTATAACTCGCAGCACTCCTTTATTTAAGATAGATATCCATAGATTCATATAATTAAAACATGTCTATGTCATCACATCTTATATATATATGTCTTAAATTAATCAAAACTCGTATTAAATTTTCTTCTATGGACCCAGAAATTAAAGTCCCTTTCTTTCTCGCAGCTGCAACGCTATTTAATTTTTTCTAAAGAGTTTTTTGTGTTTTGTAGCGTCCAAATCCGTGTACAGAGACTATGAAAATGGAATCACGATGTTACATACTAGATTTTATACCCTTCGTGATATGTGTAGTAAATAGCCTTTTGCGAAAACCATCGTTATATCCCAGGAGCTTTCATATCAAATAATCGAGAATCAAAGTAGATAGCGGAAGCGTACCTTAGGTGGATTTATGGATTTGATCACCATGGAACATGACTTGGATCACGAACACATCCTCAATCACGAACGGTGTTGGTTCTATGGTCTTTCTCAATTAAATCGCCTTATTCCTCATATGGGACCGTCGTTGGGGAGAAAGAGAACT